CCTGCTGTGTCTGGAGTCGCCGCGCGGCCTCGGCCGTACTTCGTTCCGCTCCTTCAGCAGGTTCTTGGTCTCCCGCCTTCTACTGGCCCTCCTCCTCCCTTAGAGAGTCCACAGCCTGTCCTGTCACAGTTACAGTTACAGCCGGCCTCCCCACTGCCCGCTCCTTCTCCCTACACTGGTCCTACTGGAGGTCTTGCTGAGCGTCGTGAGCCTGCGTCGCGTCCTGCGTCGCCTGTCCGTACTGCTCGCGCTAGTGGTCGTGGTTCGCGTCAGCGTCCTCCTCCTGTCCCTGGCACGCACCGGATGTCTCTGCGTCCGTCCACTGCTCCTCTGCTTGCCCCTTTGCCTTCTCCTCCTGAGTCCTCTCTTCCTGCTCTTCCCGACCCAGAGTCGGACTCTCTTCGTGCTGCCAGTCCTACTGTCACGCGTCTCCTTGCTACTGTCGTCACTGACCCTTCCTTTGCGTCCACTGCTGCGTCTGCCCTAGTTGCTGAGCTCGTCGACTTTGCTGCTCGCTGTCGTCTAGACTACGCTGCTTGTCTTGTCGCTGAGTCTGAGTCTGTCTGTCCTCCGTCCGTCGGGGGTGAGTGTGCCCTTGGCGCGGACGTCCTTGAGGACAGGCAGGAGGAGTTCCAGTGTTTGGCTGCTGCTTCACCTCATCTCGTGTCCGTACTGCTTACCCCTGAGGGAGACCCGGATGCACTTGACATCCCGACTCCGCGCTCTTACGCGGAGGCGATAGAGGGTCCCTACTCCTCTCAGTGGCAGGCAGCTATGGACACAGAGATGGCTTCCTGGAAGTCCACAGGTACCTACGTTGACGAGGTTCCCCCGCCTGGGGCGAACATCGTCAGTGGCATGTGGATTTTCAGGGTGAAGCGGCCGCCGGGTTCTCCGCCTGTCTTCAAGGCGCGTTACGTGGCTCGTGGCTTCAGTCAGCGGCAGGGAGTTGACTACTTTCAGACCTTCTCTCCCACCCCGAAGATGACCACTCTTCGGGTACTGCTGCACATAGCTGCTCACCGCGACTACGAGCTGCACTCTCTTGACTTCAGCACTGCTTTCTTGCAGGGCAGCCTGCACGAGGAGATCTGGCTGCGTCGCCCACCTGGCTTCACTGGGTCTTTTCCTCCTGGCACCCAGTGGAGCCTCCGGCGGCCAGTCTACGGTCTCCGCCAGGCACCGCGTGAGTGGCACGACACACTGAGGACTACACTTGCGGCTCTTGGGTTTGCTCCCTCTACTGCCGACCCGTCGCTGTTTCTGCGCACCGACACTTCTTTGCCGCCGTTCTACATCCTCGTGTACATCGACGACTTGGTCTTTGCCACAGCTGACACTGCTGGACTCGCCCACGTGAAGTCCGAGCTGCAGAAGAGACACACGTGCACAGACCTGGGTGAACTGCGCAGCTACCTTGGCTTGCAGATCACCCGGGACAGAGCACGCCGCACCATTACCCTGACTCAGTCACACATGGTGCAGCAGGTCCTTCAGCGCTTCGGCTTCACGTACTCCTCGCCTCAGGCCACTCCTCTGCCTACTCGCCACTCGCTCTCGGCTCTGCCTTCGGATGAGTCCGTAGAGTCAAGTGGCCCGTACCCAGAGCTTGTTGGCTGCCTCATGTACCTGATGACCTGCACACGACCTGACCTCGCATACCCTCTTAGCATTCTTGCACGCTATGTTGCTCCTGGGAGACACAGACCGGAGCACATGGCTGCAGCGAAGAGGGTGTTGCGTTACTTGTGCAGTACGTCGGGCATGGGGCTTGTGCTTGGAGGGCAGAGTCCAGTGGTCCTCACTGGGCACGCAGACGCTTCTTGGGCTGACGACCAGGCTACGCAGCGGTCGTCACAGGGTTACACCTTCAGCCTTGGTTCCGGCTCTGTTTCGTTGCGGGCTACCCGCTCGTCTTCTGTTCTCGGCTCCAGTTGTGAGGCTGAGATCTACGCCGGGGCCATGGCTGCACAGGAGCTTCGCTGGCTCACCTACCTGCTGACTGACCTCGGAGAGCCGCCTCGTTCTCCTCCAGTGCTGTACGTAGACAACAAGGCCATGCTGGCCTTGTGTCGAGAGCAGAGACTGGAGCACAGAACGAAGCACATTGCTCTCCGCTACTTCCTTGCTCGTGAGCTACAGCAGCGTGGTCAGCTGCGGCTTGCGTACGTGGCCTCTCAGGCCAACACTGCTGATATCTTCACCAAGGCACTTGCGCCTTGTGATCATCAGCGCTTCTGTACTCAGCTGGGTCTTGTGCCCACCTTGCCTCACTTACTCACCCCTTGACCTTGTTTGTACTGATGCATATATATATATACTCCTGCTCTTGCTTGTCTAGCCTTATATATATATGTAATCCTGCATGTGAACTGGCCTTGTGGCCTTGAACTTGTGCTCGGAATGTGTGGTGACTTTGTGATCCACCCTGAGCTTGTTTTGCTTTGCTTGACTGGTCCTGTGACCCCTTGTTCTCCCCCACTTTGCCTATGGGGGTGTGTCAGATTTATATGACATAGCTACTGTAGGCTATAGTGGGGTGGCACATATGGGGTACAGTTTTCTAGGGTTTGCTTTTTGTACCCAACTTTCACTTAGTCATTTCATTCCTCGTTTCTTCTCACCTATGGCTAAGGAATAGGATTTAGTAGAGAACTGTGTGAAGAAATAGTGGTAAAAAGGGCATTCAGACGTTGGCGATGTGGCATGTTGCGCACAGGCCTATCATCGCACAGATTCAGACCAGCAAACGCACAAACATGCGCCACGTGCTGCGTAGTTGTGCTAACGATATCAAACCAGTTCCTATGGCTAGGGAATAGGATGTAGCCCTAAACGGTGTGAAGAAGTAGTGGAAAAAAGGCATCCAGACGTTGGCGATGTGACATGTTGCGCACCGGCCTATCCTTGTAGAGATTCGGGCCAGCAAACGCACAAACATGCGCTACGTGCTGCGTAGTTGTGCTAACGATATCAAACCAGTTCCTATGGCTAGGGAATAGGATGTAGTAGGGAACAGTGTGAAAAAATAGTGGTAGAAAGGGCATCCAGACGTTGGCGAGCTGACATGTTGCGCACAGGCCTATCATTGCACAGATTCGGGCCAGCAAACGCACAAACATGTATCGCGCATGCATATCCTTGTTGGTAATTCTCTGCTAGAGTGTTCTAATCAACATAACCACAATGTTTATGGGTTTAGAAACATATACCGTACTATGCTTTCATTAGAGTCAACATGTCATATTTTATCGGACCCCCCACATTTGTGGCTGAGCCCGAATATAGTCTTGTTTAGAACTCTTAATACATACGGCTAATTGGGCTGGAGTTGATCCCCACGTCACTTGTTTTTTATACCTAGCTAATATCACAATTTCAAAAGAACATAACAGACACAACTCTTAAAATGAGGTGTGTAACATGTTACTATTCTGTCTTGTCAACAGCAACCGAAACTGAGATGACGTGGCCAGAATCTTCAAACATTTCCACGCGAAGGTGAAAACCAGGGTCTCATGTAGGCAAAGGAGCCATCAACTGCAAAACAGTTGAAGCTAGGTTACATAGTTAGAGGAGACGAAGTTCTCTCTGGTTTGGTTGGAAACTCAGCTTGCGACACACCTGGTAGTTGCCCCAGCAGCAATGGCAAAAAACTTCCAGGTAGCAAGAGGACGCGTCATCTCTTCACGATTTTGCACGATCAATCCGGCTCAGGTTCGATTTTGTCCGGTTTTTAAAACGGTTCAAAATCTTTACGATGTAACAAGTAGGTTTCAAGTGTGGTGGACGATCGGTTTTTGACACGTCCTGAGACTTTCGATCGGTTCAAAATCGAAAGAGGTAACGCGTCCTACGAATTTCGATGATTTGGGGGTAATTTTAGGTTTGGCACCAAACCAAGTTTCCAAGCCAAGAAGGTTCGGGTACACCCAGCGATTTGCGTTCACTTCGCACCCCTCGCTTCACCCCACTTCAAACATAACACCTCGCCAACCAGTCACAGCCATACTTTGAGCCTCAACTGCAAAACACTTCCAGTACGTATGACCCTGGTTTGAATCAGGGTGTGAAGTGTTGGTTGGCAAGCACTCCACACCACACATCTCGCGATCTATTCCCGTTTGTGTCTGAAAAAAGAAGACCAATCAAAACGCTCGTAAGCATCCAACCAGAATCGCCACGTGAACCATGGTTTGTGGTCCACCAGTACAGTGCTTGTCTGTAAACAGAGGTAAATAGGGATCGAGAGGGGGGGGGTGTAAACGACTAGGAAGGTTTTCGACAATCTGCAGGAACAAACTTAGCGCAACTGATGGTAAACTGCCGGGAAGCAGGGTAGTGCGAATTTCACCTCATCAACCATCGAAAACGACCGGCCTCCCAACTCGAAAAAGGACCCCTTCCCCTCCCCCCCCCATTCTCGGCAGTTCTACATTTTTCTGATGACTGCTTGTGGGCGCCGCGATATGCGCCGCGTTCACCGGGCTGCAGGACGTGTTCCTGGCGGCGTGGCTGCAGCACCTGCTGACGCTCCGCTTCTTCTCCACGGCGCGCGTGGGCGGCCGGCCGTTGCGGGACGTCGTCGCACTTACCGTCGTCGTTATCGCAACGCAGGTAGTACCAGCAGCGGCGGCGTGTCGCATGCAGAAAAGCACGTCGCACGCACACAGAGAGTCTGTCACGAACTACCAACCATGAGACGTCTCCGCGAGGACCACACAACCCCAGATGCGGCAGCTGCGTTGACCAATGCACCAACTAGTACTAGTTGTCCAAGCTGGGTCGACTCTCTCTTTGGCGAAAGCAAGGGGCATTGAAGCGAGAGTGGGATGCTACTAGTACTCACAGCTACTAGCTGGGAGGAATGGGCATGAGTACGGTATGGTCAGCACGAGACTAGTACAATTCTCACCCTTGTCATGTGCATGTCACGTGCGTGCACCTGTGTGTGTGCATGTGCATGTCCACATCTGCATGTCCACGTTTGCCCCACACAGGCATGCGGCACAACAGTGGCCTACGCCAAGTCATACGCCTTGAGCTTGGCGGCCAACTTCCTCGCCTCCGGCCACATCGTGCTTGTCAACGTGCTGCCATGCCTCGCTGACTCGCTCTTCCGCTTCACCAACAGGTGCGATGGAGTGAGGGAGAAATGAGCAGCAGCGTATGAACGTGTTGGCTTGTTGTGGCAGCGTGGCAATAGTTTTGAGGAGCCTAACTCGTCTCTATCATCTCGCGCTGACTCGCCTTCCATCTTCCTTGACAGGAAAACCAACTAGGCTATCTGGAAGAAAGGATAACTTATCCATGTGGAATTGCGGTCAATCCACCACAGTTGGCCATTCTATCATGTGACAAAGCCTGACGAAAAAAGGCAGCATGGAAGAGACTAGGTGATATGGGATGGTGAAGCTGGAGTCAGCGCCAACGAGCCTGACACTCTCCTTTGGTCGACAATCTCCTTAGGTCAACAAGTTTGGGGACCAACTTCTGAGTAGGAGATTCTGGTTGAACCCAGTTAGCGCGTATGCGCCCTGTACACTCAAAATTAGAGCATGCAAGTGTAAGTATATTCTACACCTCCATTTGGACCCTCCTCCCCACCCCCTACCCCTCGTTTCCGCCTCCATCTGGACCCTCCTCTCTCTCCTTGGTGCCACTGCCCGCCTCCTTCTACTCGCTCAAATTCCACCTCCGCCCTCCTGCACCCAACACCCCCCTCTCCATTTCCTCTCCATCCTCCCCCCACCACAGGCTCTCACCACACCTGCATCCGCTCGTCTTCCCCCTCGTCTCCGCCTCCATCTGGACCCTCCTCTCGCTGCTCTCCCCCTTTGGTGCCTTAGCCCACCCGTTCTACTCGTTGTGCTCCCTGCTGCCACTCGTGCAAGCCACGGCATATGTCGGCATGGATGGTGTCCTGCTGCTGGTGGCCTGGCTGGTGGGGGGTATTCACCAGATGATGTTTGAGGGGGATGCGGTGGTGAGGGGCGAGGACGGCGGAGGGAGAGAGGGAGAAGGGTAGCAGTCAAGTGTGTGGTGAGGCCTGTAATGGTGTTAGTGCAGTGAGGAATGGAGTAGGAGTAGGAGGAGGAGTAAACGTAGGCTTAGGAGGAGGAGGAGAAGGGGCAGGTGGGGAAAGGGGAAGAGGTGCAGTTGGGGGAAGCAACAGGCTCGGGGGAGGCAGCATCGGGTGGGGCCATGTGCGAGTGAGTGGAGCACTGCTGATGGTGCTGATGGCTGCCGGGTCAGCGAGAGAGACTGTGTTCTCCTCCAGGTACCGCTGCACTGCACCTGCACAAGGAACTGCTCACGCTCTACTGCGCTTTACTAACTCCCGTCATTTCTCCCCTTCCTTCCTCCTTTCCCTCGCAGAGTTTCCGAATTCTGCATCCACCCATTGTATTTCTATCTATTGTAATCATCCATCTCCAAGCAGTCATGCTCCCCAATCCAGATGGAATCAATAGTTATTGTTGCTATTCCCTAATCTGCACCTCCGATCCATCATTTTCTCTCCCCCTCTGGAACCACTTTGCTACCTCTTCCCCTGCAATACTACCCTCCCCTCTACCCGTTCCACCAGCTGCTTTTTGTCTACCTTTCCCAGCGCTTAATGCCATTAACTGCATTTGATGTCACTTCCCCAGGCTGGAAGGGAAATTACTAAGTGCCTTTCTCTTGCTCTCTTCTCTCTCTCCTTCTCTCTTCCCCACTTCCTCTTCCCCTCCCTCTCCCTCTTCCAACGTCATCCCCTCCCCCAATTCCCTCTCTCTCCCCCACTTCCTCTTCCCCTGCCTCTTCCTCTCCCATCGTCATCCCCTTGGTCAATCCCCTATCAGATTCTACCAGCAGCTGGTCGGAGCACCCATCATGCCCGCCGTCCCTGTCTCCTGCATCCTCTTGCAAGCCCCCACCGAAGCCATCCCTCCAAGGTCTCCGGAATCGCTCCGCCTGCTTACTGCTGCTGCTAATGCCTCCACGCCTTTTCCCACGCTCTCCATGCTGCAGAGGGGATGCGGGGGAGAAGGGGAGAAGCGGGGGGGCCAGGGAGAGTGTCAACAGGGGCAAATTGGAGATGCAGAAGGGGCAGTATATGCAGCAGCAGTAGGGGAAGGAGCAACGGGAAGAGCAAAAGCAGCAGACGGGGTAGGAGGAGCAGCAGCACCAGCGAAAGGGACGTGGGAGGAGTGGGAGGCGCGGCGTGTGTCAGGCATAGCACGGGTGATGCAGCAGACGCAGCAGAGAGCGAGTGCAGGCGATGCGCTGATCCTGTGGTCGGAGGCTACCATCATTCTGCTGCACGATCATGAGGAGGCCAAGCTCCTGGCTGATCTCTCTGCCATCGCCACCACTGCCAGGGCCAACCGCACTGCCGCTGCTGCTGGGGAAGCTGCAGCTCCATCAATTCTTGGGCCATACCTGGGTGCTTCATATGTAAAGGTGCGGGTTTGATTTCCATAACAGCATGGATTCACAGGTGTATGTGTGCTGGATTGATAGATTTGACAGTTTGAGACATGCAGAGAGATTCCTGCTGTGGTCAGACTCAGACCCAGAGTCTCAGACTCAGACTCGGACTGGGAGTTTATGTCCATTCCTCTGTTGCTCGCAGAACGCTCATGGAGAGCTGAAGCTCCTTGCTTATCTCGCTGCCATCACCACAAACTGCCAGTACTTTTTGTGCTGCCCCTGTTGCTGCCCTTCACTTTGTTGATGGGATGATGCAGCCCATCTGCCACCCCCACAACGAGATTCGCCTTCATTTGCCCTTTCCTCCCGTGTCCTTTTGCACTCTCCCTCCCCCACTGTATGTCCCTCTAACCCACATCCCTCCCCACCAACCTCCCTTCCCTCAGTTAATTGTCCCTGGCGATCAACTAGCTCCTTCACCCTCGCCTGCCCCAGCGGGCCCCCATCCTGCACTACAACAAGATGCAAACCATACCCTCTGTGGAGCCCAACGTGCTGCCAGGCCTCAGCGCCCTGCCCGTTGCTCATGCACACACGCACACCTATTGCCACCCAAAGACAGACACATAGAGAACAAAGGCTCCCCCTCCCATCTGCCACCTTCCACCATGAAATAAGCTTTCTTTTGCCCCTTCCTCCTGTGCCCTACCCTCCCCCTTCCCCCCCCCCTCCCCCTTGTCTTCCTCCCTCACCCCCAACCTTTCCCCCTTTCTCAGCTCATCACCTTCGTCCCTGAGATCTTCATCAACACGTTCGTCCTCATCGACCCCAGCGGCGCCCCCATCCTGCGCTACAACAAGACGCACCTCTTTCCCTCTGTGGAGGATGACGTCCTGCCAGGCCCCGGTTCCCTGCCCGTGGTGGACACGGAACTCGGTAGAATGTCTGTGGCCATCTGTTTCGACATGCAGTTCCCTGCGCTGATCCGCCAGGCTGGCAGACAAGGGTAGGTGCATGTGTGTGTGCAAAGCCCTGCCGTGTCTTCTTGTTGCATGTGGTGAATCTCTGAGTAGTGATTCGGGTCTGAGCCTGCCCCTCTCTTCAAACTGGCATCACCATCTCCCTCCACTACCCCCACATAAAGTGGGTATCTCCCTATGGCCATTGGGAGCATAGGTCCATGACGTAAAGGAGTGCCAGTGGCCAAAGCAGGCACTCTCATGCTAACCCATCCCCACTTTTCTCCCATCCCTATAACCACCATTGCCTACCGCCACCCACAGAGTGGACATTCTCATGCAGCCCAGCTGGTCATGGGGCGCCACAGGCCACTTGTTTTCTGATGGAGACGCAGTGAGGGCGGCAGAGAATGGGCTCACTCTTCTGCGCTGTTGCTCCGTTGGGGTGTCAGGGATTGTCTCTCCTCACTACCGCACCCTTGCTGCACGGTGCGTGATCCTGCTGCTGTCACTGTGTTTCTTGCTGCTGGAAGGTTATGCCTGCGCTGATCCGCCAGGCTGGCAGACAAGGGTAGGTGCATGTGTGTGTGCAAAGCCCTGCCGTGTCTTCTTGTTGCATGTGGTGAATCTCTGAGTAGTGATTCGGGTCTGAGCCTGCCCCTCTCTTCAAACTGGCATCACCATCTCCCTCCACTACCCCCACATAAAGTGGGTATCTCCCTATGGCCATTGGGAGCATAGGTCCATGACGTAAAGGAGTGCCAGTGGCCAAAGCAGGCACTCTCATGCTAACCCATCCCCACTTTTCTCCCATCCCTATAACCACCATTGCCTACCGCCACCCACAGAGTGGACATTCTCATGCAGCCCAGCTGGTCATGGGGCGCCACAGGCCACTTGTTTTCTGATGGAGACGCAGTGAGGGCGGCAGAGAATGGGCTCACTCTTCTGCGCTGTTGCTCCGTTGGGGTGTCAGGGATTGTCTCTCCTCACTACCGCACCCTTGCTGCACGGTGCGTGATCCTGCTGCTGTCACTGTGTTTCTTGCTGCTGGAAGGTTATGCCTCCAAATGAGCCATTGCAAACTTCCTCACCCATTCACCCATTCGCATATCCGTTTTTTCATTTCCGCACACATACAACCATTTGCCCACCCGTTTATTCATTTCTGCACACATACAACCATTTGCCCACCCGTTTATTCATTTCTGCACACATACAACCATTTCCCTACCCGTTTTTTAATTTCCACACTCATGCAATCATTTTCCCACCCGTTGATTAATTTTTGCACACACACAACCATTCCTGTTTATTCATTCCCGCAAACATACAACCATTAGCCCGTCCGTTTATTCATTTCCGCAGACATACAACCATTTGCCCACCCGTTCAGTAGTTTCTGCACTGATGTAACCATTTGCCCACCCATTTATTAATCTCCGCACACGTACCAGTACATCCATTTGCCCCGCCGTCCCTTATCCCCTCTTCTTATTGTGTTTGCCCCAATCACCCACTGCTTTTCAGTGAAGGGCTAGAGTCTGGGACGCTCTCAATGCACCTGCCCCGCCTGCCCCATGCCCCAGCGCTCTACCCCTTTATTGGCCTACCCATCTCCCTCCTCTTCCTCGTCCTCACCCTCCTTGCATCATTCCTTGCCGTTTGCCCCGCCCTTTCGAAATTCCTTTTTGTCACCCCACCCTGCTCGTTGCTGCCTCACCCTCGCTGCTTGGCTGGGCTGCAGGGGGAGGGGGAGAGGGAAAAGGAAGGGTAGGAGCAGTGGAGAGGGTATAGTTTGTGATACATGATGAGACAGAGGATGGATGCACTAGTGTGAAGTTGAAGAAGAAGCGACTCGCAAACAATTTAAACATTTTTTGTGCTGCTTCAATATAAGATACTACTATCATAGCCACGTTAGTAAGGAAAGGATATAAATATCCCATTAGGGTATCAATGAGCACACGCACTCTCATAGTAGGTCGATCCGAAAATTGTGTGTACTGTAATCTCCCGGCAAGATGACCCCCCCCCCCCCCCCCCCCCCCCCCACACACACACACATAAAAGCCCCATGGGTTTTTAATCCGACACAAGGGTCTTTTATTCTGTCAGTCCTGGTGAGGACCCGTGTTTTGACTCAATTCATTATTAGCCCCCCTCTCTTTTGCAATATGCTATAATGGGTGGTGTTTAACCGGTGAGCAGCTTAGCGAGTCACAAGAAAAAAACACCAGATTCACGTTGTGGGGAGACTTCGTGGTCAACGGAGTCACGATGCCACATCGATCATGCCCTTTTGCCACTTGTCACGCGAGAAATGCTGACATACCTGTCACGGTTGGGCATCACAGAGTGTGTGACGCGCAGCAAGGTTTGATGTGCGCGAAGCGAGAGTGACGATAGGATTCCTCGTTTTGAGTCGTACTTGAAATAGGAAAAAAAACAAAAACTGATCTACATGTCAAGAATAGAACTAGGAATGAATGATTGAACTAGGCAAGAGGTGAGTACAAGTAGAGGAAACCTAACCCTAAAGTGTTGTACTCGCTAAGGAGTGACCCTACTGTAGCCTAGAGATACAATTGTAATCTGACACACCCCCATAGGCAAAGTAGGGGACAGCAAACACAACAAGCGGTCACAAGACCAGTCTGCAGAAAAGAACACAGCTCAGGGTGGATCACAAAGTCACCACGCATTCTGAGCACAAGCAAGTGGCCACAAGGCCAGTTCACATGCAGAGGTATATAATAGCAAGGCAGTACACTGATCACAACCTAGCAAGAGAAAACAAGCAGGTATAAAGATATATAGCAGTGTACAACAAGAGCAAGTCAAGCAACCAACAGGTGAGGCAGAGTGGGCACAAGCCCAAGAGCAGTGCAGAAACGGTGATGATCACCAGACCCAAGGGCCTTGGTGAAGACATCAGCAGTGTTGGCCCGAGAGGCCACGTAAGCAAGGCGCAACTGACCACGCTGCTGCAGCTCACGCGCAAGGAAGTAGCGAAGAGCAATGTGCTTCGTTCTGTGCTCCAGACTCTGCTCGCGACACAAGGCAAGCATTGCCTTGTTGTCGACGTACAGAACTGGAGGAGAACGAGGCCGCTCCCCCAAGTCGGTCAGCAGGTAGGTCAGCCAGCGTAGCTCCTGTGCAGCCATGGCCCCAGCGTAGATCTCGGCCTCACAGCTGGAACCAAGCACAGAAGAAGAACGAGTGGACCTCCACGAGACAGAACCAGAGCCAAGACTGAAGGTGTAACCCTGTGACGAACGCTGAGTCGTCTGGTCGTCGGCCCAAGAAGCGTCAGAGTGTCCTGTGAGGACCACCGAACCCCGTCCTCCAAGCACGAGCCCCATGCCTGATGTGCTGCACACGTAACGCAATACCCTCTTCGCAGCATCAAAGTGCACCTTTCGGTGTCGACCAGGTGCCACGTAGCGAGCCAGGAGGCTGAGAGGGTACGTGAGGTCAGGTCGTGTGCACGTCATCAGGTACATGAGGCAACCCACAAGCTCTGGGTACGGACCACTCGGCTCTACGGAGTCGTCCGAAGGTGGAGCTGAGAGCGAGTGGCCGGTAGACAGAGGAGTGGGCTGTGGCGAGGACCAAGTGAAGCGGAAGCGCTGAAAGACCTGGTGCACCATGTGTGACTGAGTGAGGGTGATGGTGCGCCGTGGTCTGTCCCGGGTGATCTGCAAGCCAAGATAGCTCCGCAGCTCACCCAGGTCAGTGCAGGTGTGTCTCTCCTGCAGCTCCGCCTTCACTAGGGCCAGTGCCTCAGTGTCAGCAGTAGCAAAAACCAAGTCGTCGACGTACACGAAGATGTAGAACGGCGGCAGAGTAGTGTCGGTGCGGAGAAACAGCGACGGGTCAGCAGTCGAAGGAGCAAACCCAAGAGCCGCAAGTGTCGTCCTCAGTGTGTCGTGCCATTCACGGGGCGCCTGACGCAGGCCGTACACTGGTCGCCGTAGGCTCCACTGGGTACCCTCAGGAAACGACCCAGTGAAGCCCTGTGGACGGCGCAACCAGATGGCCTCGTGAAGGCTACCCTGCAAGAAAGCTGTCGAGAAGTCGAGGGAGTGCAGCTCGTAGTCACGCTGAGCTGCAACGTGTAGCAACACCCGAAGAGTGGTCATCTTCGGGGTGGGGGAGAAGGTCTGAAAGAAGTCGACCCCCTCGCGCTGACTGAAGCCTCGAGCAACGTAACGTGCCTTGAAGGCAGGCGGAGAACCCGGCGGCCGCTTCACCCTGAAAATCCACATGCCACTGACGATGTTCGCCCCAGGTGGGGGAAACCTCGTCGACGTAGGTGCCTGTGGACTTCCAGGATGCCATCTCTGCGTCCATGGCTGTCTGCCACTGAGAGGAGTACTCACCCGAAATCGCCTCCCTGTAGGAGCGCGGGGTGGGGATGTCAAGTGCATCCGGGTCTCCCTCAGGGGCAAGCAGCACGGTCGCGTGATGGGATGAAGCGGCAGCAAGGCACTCCAGCTCCTCCTGTCTGTCCTCAAGAACGTCACAGCCAAGGGCAGTACAGCCAAGAGCAGTCTCACCCCCGACGGGCGGAGGACAGGCAGGGACAGGGTCAGAGACAAGACTCGCAAGGTAGTCTAGGCGGTACACAGCAGCAAAGTCAACGAGCTCAGCTACTAGGGCAAACGCAGCAGGAGACGAGAACGTAGGGTCCGTCACAACCGTAGCAAGAAGGCGAGTAACAGTCGGACTGGACGAACGAGCAAGGTCACACGGAGGGTCAGCAACGTCAGGCAGAGAGGATGCATGAGGTAACGGTAGTACAACACGCTGAGGAACAGAGGAAGGACGGAGTGTCATATCGTGAGTGCCGGGGACAGCCGGAGCACGCGGACGACGAACACGAGGAACACGAGCACGGACAGCAGCTCTAGGCTCAGGCTCAAGGTCAAAGCTAGACTCAGGCTCTCGACGCTCAGGGGTGGAAGCACGAGTCTCAGGCTCTCGACGCTCAGTCAGGGACTCTGACACCGCAGTGTAAGGAGCAGGAGCAGGCAATGGGGAGTGTGGTAGCAGTGGTGGCTGTGACTGGTCCACTGGCGGACACAGCAACGGAGGAGTAGTACCTGCCACAGGGAAGCCAGTAGCACCTGGCGAAAGACTGAGAAGGTGGCGAAGAGCACCAGTAGCTCCCGTACCTCCAGCACGAGCAGCTCCTCCAGTACCCCCAGCAACACCTCCAGCACCAGTAGCACCAGCATCTCCAGCACCTCCAGCACCACGAGCTCCGACAGCGCCAGCACCTCGAGCACCAGTAGTACCTCCAGCATCTCCAGCTCCAGCTCCAGCGCCTCCAGCACCAGTAGTACCTCCAGTACCTCCCGTGCCAGCAGCTCCAGTAGCACCTCCAGCACCTCCAGCACCAGCAGCACCACCTGCTCCGGCAGCTCCAGCACCTCCAGTACGAGCACCTCCGGGACCAGTAGCTCCAGCACCTCCAGTACCTCCAGCACCAGCACCTCCCTCCAGGGTCAGCACCTCCAGCACCTCCAGCACCAGCAGCAGCTCCAGTACCCCCAGCACCAGCAGCACCTCCAGCACCAGCAGTGCCTCTAGTACCTCCAGTAGTACCTCCAGCACCTCCAGCACCAGCAGCACCTCCTAGACTAGTAGCTCCAGCACCAGCCGGACCGTACCCTCCACCACCAGGACTGCCTCGCCGAACAACCCACGCACGAATCGCCTGCGGCGAGAGCGTCTCAAGTAGAGCAGGCTGTGGTGGCTGTCCAGCTCCAGTACCTCCAGTAGTGGTAGCTCTAGCACCTCCAGCACCAGAAGCACCTCTAGTACCCCCAGCTCCAGCACCTCCAGCACCAGCAGCAGCTCCAGTACCTCCAGTAGTACCTCCAGGCCTAGTAGCTCCAGTACCTCCAGCTCCAGGACCTCCAGAAGGACTCGTAGCACCCCCAGTGTCAGCACCCGAAGTCTCAGCACCCCCAGAGTCAGCACCCAAAGTCTCAGTACCCCCAGGCTCAGTACCCTCAGGCTCAGTACCCTCAGTCCCAGCACCCGCAGGCTTAGTGCCCTCAGTCCCAGCACCCGCAGGCTCAGTACTCTCAGTCCCAGCACCCGCAGGCTCAGTACACTCAGTCCCAGCACCCGCAGGCTCAGTACGCTCAGTCTCAGCTCCAGTGTCCACTGCAGAAGGCTGCAGAGGCGGGAAACCGGGGGGGGTAGCCAAACGAGGAGAGCAGTCACCCCCAGACGTACCACTCCCAAGCCCAGCTCCAGCAGCCTCAGCTCCAGAGTCCACAGCAGCAGGCTGCGGAGGTGGCGAAGACGGCCGAGGCGGGAAACCCGGGGGGGTCTCCAAGCGAGGAGTGTGGCGAGTGGTCGCCGTGTCGTCGGCGACGTCGTCACCCCCCTCAGCTGAGTCAGAGGAGTCAGAAGAGATCTCAACTGGCTCATCCAAGGAGGGTGGGTCTACCTGGGACACACCTGAGGGAGCAGGACCCTGTGGGGGAAGGGGGTCTACCGGGGGGGGGACTGGTACCAAGAAGAGAGGCGCGAGGGGGACCGGGTGGGACGCGTGTGGGTGAAGTCGGTAGTAACAGACCGACTCGTCGAAGGTGACGTCCTAAGAGGATAGAACACGACGCGAGGCAGGGTGGTAGAACTGCCAGGGTGGAGCGTCGGTGGGGAAGCCCAGGAAGACACAGCGGAGAGTGCGAGGAGAGAGCTTGCTCGCTTTGGTATCGCGAACAAGGGAGAGCGCGCCCCAGACCCGAAACGATG